ACCAAGTTGCCCAGGCTGGTCTCAAATCCATGGGCTCAGGCAATCCCTTCACCTTGGCCTCCCAAAGTGCTGAGATTACAGGCTTGAGCCACCATGCCCAGCCTATTAATTAATTTTTTAAAATCCTGACACCCAGACAGCCAGAGTCCAGCTCCAGCAGGTTAGGGTTTCCTGAAGGAGAAATGGCGTCGGCACAGAGAGAAAATGGACACTGACTCTGTTGTTGTACAGTACAGATGCTGCTTTATTGTCTTTTGTTTGTTTTTGTTTTGTTTTGTTTGAGTTGGAGTCTCAGTCAGATTGGAGTGCAGTGGCTGCTCCCGGCAACCGCAGCGCTTCGGTGATCCTTCTGCCTCAGCCTTCCAAGTAGCTGGAATAACAGGCGCACGCTACCACGCCTGGCTAATTTTTTGATTTATTGTAGAGATGAGGTCTCACCAAGTTGCCCAGGTGGGTCTCGAACCCGCGGGCTCAGGAAATCCATTCACCTCAGCCTCTCAGAAGTGCTGGGATTACAGGCTGAGCCATCAAGCCTGGCTAGGATTTTTTTAAGAGCTCTCTAGGGCTGGGCGCAATGACTCAATCCTGTAATCCCAGCACTTTGAGAGACTGAGGTGAGAGGATTGCCTGAGCCCACGGGTTTGAGACCAGCCTGGGCAACTTGGTAAGACCTCATCTCTACAATAAATAAAAAAAATTAGCCGGGCGTGGTGGTGCAAGCGTATAGTTCCAGCTACTTGGAGGGTTGAGGAGGAAGGATCACCTGAGCCCAGCAGGTCGAGGCTGCAGTGGCCATGAATGTGTCACTGCACTCCAGACTGGGTGACAGAGTGAGACTCCTACTCAAGAAAATAAATATATATATACATAAAAGCTCTCTAGGAGATCCTAGCATGTTGTGGGGTTAACAACTACTGTTTCAGATTGAATGGGGAAAAGCGGGTGGGGCAGAGGAGAAGGCCGACTGCAGAGGCGAGAGCCCTTTCTCAGGTTTGGGAAGATAGGTGGATATTAGCACAGACTGCCTTAAAGAAGGAGAGGGGAGCAACTGAGGGCACAGGAAACCCTCTCCCTGTGAGAGCTTCAACGCCTTAGACATGGTCCCTCTTGGATTCTAGAGGAGGCCAAGTGAGTAGAGCTAGTGCCCTTCTGTGTTGCAGTTCCCTAAAGATTTGGTTCCATTCCTTCAGTGCAGACCTGTGCAGAGGCCATGTGTGTGTGGGGGAGGGGGGAGGCAGAGAAGACCAAAGGACTTGAGGTCAAAGTGCAGAGAGCATCAGCCAACCTCACAGACCATGGATAGGACAAGCAATGACCAATCCTGCTGGGGATAGGACAGAGGCAGTAACAGGAAACAAGGAACCCCACGCAGGGGGCATCTGAGAGAGACACTACCCTGGAGTATGGGGTAGTGGCTTTCAAAAGGAAGGGAGACAGAAATGTGGGTTATACCAAAAAGAGAGGCCTTAGCAAGTTTGTAGACTGAGGAGGAAGACACAGAGGACCAGGAGAGGCCCAAGGTAAACAGGTCGGAGAAAAGGCTTACCGTTGCTCTGAGGGAAAGAAAAGAGTTTCCAAAAGGAAGGCCCCATTCTTGTGATTCAGCTGAAAGATGCTCTTCCCATGGTTTTCAACGTGGGAGAATAGTGAGTGACCTGTGGGATCCAGAGCCCAAAGGCATTTTCTGAGAGACACCAGGGCATGCCCTGGACTGGCCAGTTCTTTTAGCTGGACCCCCTGGCACTGGGCTCAGCTCCCACACGTGGTTAGGTCAAGATGTGCAGCCTCTGGTTCTGATTTTCTCAGATGTTCCCTGGCATGGGGCTCTGTTTTCCTGGGAACTGGTGTGGAAAGATCTGGGTGGGGGGGGTGAGCAGGAGACCTAGGCTCTAGCCGAGGTCTCCCCTGACATGCCATGTGACCTAGGTGAATCACTACTCTCTGGGCCTCAGTTTCCCTACCACATTGTACCTCCTAGAGTGGTTTCCCTTGTGGGGAAATGAAGTCGTGCACCCGTGGTCCTTTTCAGAGCTTTTGCATGACACTCTGGCCTGGCAGACCTGACAGCCCAGGGCTTGGTAACCATTCAGTGAACCCACCTAGGGATTTTTTCCAACTGCTGAATAGGCCTTAGGGGGTGGGGTTAACTCTGACAAGCAGAGGCAGTGACTGGGGGCAGGCAAAGACAAGGGGAAGGTGATGTCCTGGAGGAATGGGTGGGTCTGAAGAGTGGTGAGGAGTGGGGGCCTAATGGAGGTGGGTGGATGGGTGGGACATGAGTTAGGAGAGTATCCAGAGAGGCTGGCAGGACCTGAGCACTGTGGGGACCGTGGAAGGGTCTGAGAGAGACAAGGTTCTGGCAGCCAGGGAGGGCACAGATTGGAATGCCAAGGACCAAGGCCAGGAGACCAGTACGGGCTGGAATTGACAGGCTGTGGTGGAGGGGAGGAAGTAAAAATAAGACCTTCTTACTAGTTTTGGCGTTTGGGGAACTTCTGCCTGGCCAGCAGCATTCCTCAAGAGAGGGCGTGAGACACCTTATAGGAGCTTTGCAGGATGACCAGGAAGCAGGCAGGAGCAGCTTTGGTCTCTGCATCTCATACGGAAAAACTGATCACCATGCCAGACAGCCTCTAGCTTAGTCTCCTTCCTGGTCTTCAGTGTCAGGTCCTCTGGTCGATTTCCAGTGTCAACTAGAAGCTCCGCAGCTGGGCAAATATCAATCACAGAGGACATGCTGAGCCTGTGGTCTCCAAGGCTGGTTCCAGGCAGCCTCCAAGGCAGAAGGTTGATTTCCTTTTAAGGTTTTCATTTGCTGAGTACTTACTGTGTGCAGCACTGTGCGTGTGCTTGGCAAAGGACACGCACAGTGTCCTTTTACTGTCACAAGAACCCGGTGATATTGTGAAACATATTTTATGTTTGACCCTGCTTCCTGGTATACAACTCCTAAAATCTTTAGAATCTCCAAAGTAGGGGGATGTGGGATTGGCAGTAGTGGGAATCTGCTGAGGGTGGGAGGGGCACACCTCATCAACAAGGGTACCTACATACTAAATATTTATATACCTAACCCTGAATTGTACCTCACATCTTTAAAATAATAATAATAAAAAAGGAATCTCCAAAGTGATGTCTTTTTTTCCTCTTTTTTTTTTTGAGTTGGAGTCCCACTCCATCGCCCAGGCTGGAGTACAGTGGCACGCTCACAGCCACCCCAGTGTCGATCTGCCGGGCTCCAGCAATCCTTCCGCCTCAGCCTTCCAAGTAGCCGGAACTACAGGCCTGCGCTGCCACACCCGGCTAATTTTTTATTTATTGTAGAGACAAGGTCTCACCAAGTTGCCCAGGCTGGTCTCGAACCCATGGGCTCAGGCAATCCACTCTCCTCAGCCTCCCAAAGTGCTGGGATTACAGGCTGAGCCACCGAGCTTTTTTTTTTGAGTTGGGTGTCTCACTCTGTTACCCAGGCGAAGGTACAGTAGCAGGATCATAGCTCACGGCAGCCTTGACCTCAGCCTCCTGAGTAGCTGGGACTATAGGAGCACGCCATCTCACCTGGCTAATTTTTTTATTTTGTGTACAGACATGGTCTCAATGATGTTGCCCAGGCTGGTCTCGAACTCCTGAGCTCCAGCAGTCCATCCTCCTTGGCCTCCCAAAGTGCTGGGATTACAGGCATGAGCCACCACACCCACCTGGCCAAAAATGCTTATTTTTCTATGCTAATGAGTTGGCTGGTGGCTGGGTGCTCCTAGGTAGCTTCAGGATGGGGGCTGGTCACCAGAAAGACCAAGACAGTTTTAGAAGTTTGGGACTTTCATCCCCCAACCTCTAGGGATGGGAGAGGGGCTGGTCAAGTTGGTCACCAGTAGCCAATGATTTAGTCAGTCATGCCTACTGATGAGGCCTCCATAAAAGCCTAAAAGGACAGGGTTTGAGGAGCTACCAGAGAGCAGGACATGTTATGGTTCCTGGAGACTGGTATACCCTGGGAGGGAATGGAAACCACCCCCCATCCTTGCCCTACGCATCTCTTCATCTGCATCCTTTGTAATATCCCTTATAATAAACCAGTAAACGTACCTGCCTGAGTTCTGTGACTTGCTCTCACAAATTAATCAACCCAAGAGGAGGTGGGTCAGAAGTTCCAGAGACCAGACTTGTGACTGATGTCTGGTGGGGGGAGGGCAGTCTTGTGGGACTGAACCCTCACCCTATGAGATCTGACACTATCTCTGCTGCAGAATTGTTTTTGCTTGTTGGTGAGGAAACCCCTCCCCCACATTTGGTCACATAAGTCTTCTGTGTTGATTGCTGTGTTGTGAGAGCAGAGGAAAAACTGTTGTTGTCCATTCAAACCCCATGAAGAAGGTGCTGATATTATTCCCATTATACTAATAAGGAAACTGAGGCGCCTCTAATGACTTGCCAAAGGTCACACAGTTATTAAGTAGCAAAGTCTGGATTCAAGCTCAAGGCTATCTGATGCCAACGATGACTCTTCTCATCATTGTCCTACAGAGCCCCACTATGGGTACAGAGGTCCTAAAAACCTTTACTGGTGCCCACAGCTAAGGAGGTGCAGGGAAGACATTGGGCCTGGGTCATAGGGCTCTGGTGAGGCTCCATAGGGACCCTTGCCTGTAAGAAGTAGCAGTGGCTCCCACCTGGACCAGACCTCAGCCTTCCTGAGCCCCTGTGAAACAGTCCGGTGCTCTCATGGGCAGTCTGCTGGCTCCTAACGCCCGGTTCTTCCCAAGGAGGGGCCGCAGGACTTACTCAGGAGCTTGAGCTGCATCCTGGATTGCAGCCCCTCACCTTCCTGAGCCAGCCCTTCTCCCTCCCTCCCCCTAAGAGACTTCTCACTACTGTCCTGCTCAGCAATTCAGGGTGCTTCAGACCCTTCCAGAAAAGCCAGCACAGCCAACTGGTCCAGCTGGTGAGCAAGAACACAAGAACACATACCCAGATGCAGAAAATGTACACACAATGCCTTCTTTTTTTTTTTTTTTTTTTTAAACTCAAAGGGCTTTTATTGTTTTTTAACTCACTTCCTGGGAAGTTAATCTTTAAAACACTCTTATGGAGTCTGTTCATCACTTGTGCTACATTCAAAAACAATGATGCCAACTAAAACGGGGTGAGCATCCCCTCTGGCCTCTGACATGGGCAATGAGGCTGGCTCCCCCCACCACAAGCTTTCCAAGGACAGGTCCAATCGATATATCCCCCTGAAACCAGATTCTCACAGAGATGCTCAAGAAAACCATGCTTTTAACTCACCTTCCGTTAACTCCATAAAAGTGTTCTTACAAACAGTACCGAATTATTTTTTAAGCCCTGAGCCACACTGCCTTAGGGCAGAAGAGCTGGGGAGAAATGTGGACCCATTGACAATGGGCCATATTCTGTTCCTAGCCTTAAACAGACTTAGAAACTATATTACAGATGCATGTACTGGTGCAAGTCATGCGAGTGTGCTGTGTGCAGCAGATGGGCACGTATGTGCGTGTATGTGTGGAGGCGCGACGTACACCCACAGGCACAGAGATGCGGCAGGATGCGGGTCCTCCTCCACCCCAACCTCCATCTCCTCCTCCAAACAAGCCCTCCTGCAATATGAAACCCACGCTTGTGGCTGAAATCCCTTGTCTACCCACGTTTCCAGGGGTGGCACCCAAGTCCTGTATTATTTCCCTTTGGAGGTCAACCTCTGCGAGCATTTAGTAAGCTAACACCAAGCCAGCCAGCCAGACAGACACTGATCCCAGAGAGAAGATGAAGCCTACTTCGGAAGAGCCATGTCCAAACACTCGATCCTGCACACCTGCTCTGAACAGGCTGACTGCTGACTGTCCTGGGGGTAAGGCAGTTGGCAAAGAGGCCACCTCCCAGTGTGCACACCCCTCCAGGGTTCTGTGTCTAGTGACGTCTCCAACCTAGGCAGTCTGTCCTTCACAGTAGGATCGTGAGGCCAGCTTCCAGGGCCAGATGGTTAGGCCAATGTAGGATCAGAGATTGCATTCCAGTTGTTTCAGCATGTGCAAGGCCACAGCCCTATGAGTCCATGGTCCTCAGTTGATGCCGGCCCCTGGTGTCTCTTCTGTAGCCTCAGCTCTGGGGCATCATGGAGGGAGAGAGGGAGGGAGATGGGCAGGGAAGGTGTGATGCTCCTGGCTCAGGCGTTTGCTCAGAGCTTGATTCAGTTCAGCCCATCTTCCAGATGGTGCCGAATGCAAAACACAATCCAAGAAGGTCAGTCTAGTTCATTTGGCTGCCAAATAAGGGTGGGGTGTGCTAGAAACCACCCAAAGCTGTAGGAAAGCTCATGAGATGTTCCCAAGCAGGGCCTCTCCCCCCACCCCCCAGGTTAAAAACGAAAGTAAAAGAACAAAAAAAAAAAGATTCTGAATTCTCCAGTACCGACTCTCTCCCCAGTAAGAGGGATCAGAGCCTCTATACCAATGTCTAAATAGACAAGAGCTCTGGTACCACCACCCCAAAGTGGGCAGGGCACCCCCTTCCATGTGCGTGTGGCAGCTGAGCCAGTCCGGCCCGGTCCCCAGCAGGAGGTTTCTTCAGTTGCAGTAAGCCAGGCCTCCACCTGCCATCTTGGTTTCCTGACTCCTGCCCTGGGCCTTTCTGACCAGCTGGGTGGGGTCTCTGAGGCTCCATGGCCACCTGGCTTCCCCACAGAATGGGTCAGGCCAGGACAGCCAAGAAGAGGAGGAAGTCCTCACGAGAGCCCTGTCCCCAAACCCCAAATGATACACATTCCAATCCTGTCCCTGGACGTGCGTGCGTAGAGGTCATGCAGCACGACGGGGGAGGGGGGCCGGGAGAGGGGCCGTAGTCCCTAGCCCCCTGCCCGCAGGGGCGGCTGTTGCATGAGGGCGGTGGGCCTCTGGAGGCGCGGGATGAGTGTGCTGCCGGGCGGCCCTGGGCGCATGCAGGGGCTCAGGATGCAGCCTCGTCTTCCTGGACGCCAGGGAGCTCTGGACTCTTGCCCCCTTCGCTATACCCTTCTTTCCTGTTTAGGGGACACAAGGGATAGAGGGACCTCAGGGGTCAGAATATGCACTTGGGGGGTGGGTCTCTCTCTCTCACTCCCCCGCCCCCCTACACATATGCATTCCAAGCCCCCAATCTCTCAAATCCCCTCTCACCTACTTCTTCAAGCTTGGCCTCCATTCAACTCCTCTGCATGGTGACATTTATTCCTTGCTGGTCTCCCTGCACTCAGCCCACAATCCTTCTGTGGCTCCCAATTCCCCAAGATGAAGTCTAAACTTCCCAGCCTGGCCTCCGGGGCCTCTCACAATCACAGTTGATACTCAGACTGTCAGCCAGGTCAAGGCCCTTCTGTGTTGACCTTGATCAGCCCCCAGTAGGCCTGGGTAGAGGGGCTTTCATTTTGCATTTTCTTTGCCTTGTTTACAGGACAAAGTCTAACTCTCGGTCCTGGGATTCTGTTACATAGTCAACAGATTTTTGTATTTGATTCCCCTCCCTCCAAGATGTTTCTTTTAAAATAACTAATGAATGAGTAAAAAAGGACCAATCCCATTTAACTCTACTACAGTTTCAACAATTATTCCAAGTATAAAAAACAGAGCCTATCAAAAATGAATGTTGGGATCTGATGATAAGGTAAAATAAACTTTTAAAATTAAACTTGGGTCACAGAATTATAAAATTTTAAAGCTGGAAAAATAAAAAGCCCAATCTCACAATGACAGTTTGCTGGATACAACCTAAGCACCAGATGTGACTTTACTGTGGCTAGCTTTTCTCACCACTAGGGGGTGCTGGGCAACAGGCCCTGAGCTAGAGGGACCAGATGCCCAGGTTTGCTGTGCATAGTCCTAATTCTTCCTATTATGCCCATTCTGCAAAATTACTAATAGCTTCCCCTTTTACTCTCAAAAGTAGCCCCATTTGGATGTCAAATTATATATACTCCCCCTGACACCAGTGCAATTCCAGCAGCAGGGGCCTGAGATCTAGATGAGCTCAGGGACCCCCAGTAGTTGGGACCATTAGGCCTCTCCCAGGTCTTGCATCTCCCAAGCTTGGACAGGAAGCTGACAGCAGCTTGTCCACTGTGATGGGACCCAATACTTCTGAAGCGCCTACTTATAAGAGGGAGGCCTCACAGGAATCCAACATCTGGACCCCTGGACAGGCACAGTGACGGTATTCCTCCTGAAAGGCCAACGTACCCAGACAATGCCAGGCAATTATCTTTGGAGAGCACACTTTCACCATGGGGGGGCAGGAAGACATACAACTCCCACCAGCCCTCCTCCCTGCAGCTCCTGTCACAGGCCAAAGGAGGCAACTGCTGTTCCAGGACTGCATTCTGGCTCAGGACCTCCTGACAGCTTTCTTTCTACAGTCCTGTATATAAACTCCAGAAGGCCTTCTTGGCATCCCAAACCAACTTTTATTGTAGCAGAAGGTGGAGGAGCTGAGGATGAGGTTCACAGAGGTTTGGGGAACTGCTTTCCTCACTTCTCCTAGGAGGTGGTAAACCCACAGGTGTGGGTTATTTCAGGAAGCCTTCAGCAAATGGGGATCCTCTCCCCTACCTGGTCAGCCTTACTGTGTATGCTTACCCAGTGGACAAGTTCTCAGAAAGCACTGACTGGGCATACGACCTTAACAATGGTAGCAAGGGCCACTTGGGAAAGCAGCCAACACTCCCCAGGGCCAGGCAGAGTCAGCAGCAGGGCCCCTCCCTCCACAGCCAGCCAGCCTCTTGCAAGGAACTGACATGCACCTGTTTGCGATCATCTGCAGCTCAGGGAGCTGCAGATTTGAAGCCCCAGAGGGGCCAGACCCAGTGGAAGAGTACGACAACATCAAGCTTCCACGTCCCATAGAGGGTTGAGTGAGGTCCTCATCCCTGGAAATGTGTGAGTGAGGGGTGCTGGGCCCAGGACTGAAGCAAGTGTTGGGCCAGAAAAGTCCCTTCTCACACAAACTAGCCTCGGGGACAGAGGTGCAAACGGGGCTGACTCTGAGGGCTGGTGGAGTCGCCAGGCCCTGGGCTCAGCATGCACAGCCCGGCCTGCCAACAGTAGTGAGAGTGGGGGAGCACCCCACAGGCCTTAGCCAGCCAGTACTTACATCAGTAAGTTTCCCGGAGCAGACATGGATCGCACTTCCCTCCGCGCTTGGGGCTCAAATGGGTTCCCAAAGGAACGCTTTCTCAACATGGACTTCACCAGGATCTGGGGGGGACACATCAATGTGAGGAACACAGGCCCTGGCCCCCAGACAACATGGGGCAGCTGCTGGGTAGGCCCCACTGAGGGTCCCATTTCAATCGGCAGAGGAAACAGCAGGAACAAAAGCACAGAGTGCCAGCAGCAGGGTGAATTCCCAGGATGGTGAGGAGCCCACTGCCACTGGTGTGTGGGGAACAGAGGTGCCAGGGCCACAGCATGAAGGGTCCTAGCTGAAAGCGTGGGGAGGGACAGGGCTGGAAGTACCATTAGAAAAAACCTTCTAGCTATGGCAGGAAGGACGGCACGCCCAGAGGTTGGGTAGTGCAGGGAGGAAGCTGCCATGGGGGCCCCAGGGACTGCTCCGCAGCAGCAATGGCTAAGCCAGTGGGCTGCTGGGAGGAAAGCAGCTGCCACCGCCTGGTCTCTGCCTTTGTCCCTTCTCCATGTTGAGGACAGTTGCACGCCTGCCCACAGACACACCAACTCACACACATGTGCAGAGAGCTAGGAACACACTTGCTTTTCCTTTCACTCACTCATTCATCCATCCATCCAGTCATTCAGTCAACACTATTTACAGAGCACCTCCTATGTTCTAGGCCCTATTCTAGGCACTGAGGTCACATTGAAGCCAAAATTCTTGCCCTCCTGGAGTTTATATTCTAGTTGGGGGGACAGGTAATAAATAAGGAAGACAAATCAGTGAAATATATACTATAATAGTAAGTGGTAAGGGAAGAAAACAGAACAGAGAAAAAAACAGAACAAAGGGAGGGGATAAGGTGTGACACAGGGGAGGGTGCAGCTGGGGTCGAGGGGCCAGAAGAGGCACAGCTTCTGAGGAGGTGACTTGGGAGTAAAGGCCTGAAAGGTGGGAGGAAAAGAGTCATGTGGATGTATGGGGAGGAGCTCCCCAGGGGGGAGAAGAAAAGTTCAGAGGCTCTGGGGGAGGGCCCTTGGCCAGCAGCGGGAGGGCAGTGGGGGAGCTCCACGGAACAACAGAGAAGGCAGGCTGAGGAGCGTCTTGCAGGGTAGCATGGGCTGTAAGTTTTACTCTGAGGGGCACAGGAGCCCGAGTGAGTGCGCAGGGGCTAGGCAGAGAAGTAACACACTCATGCCACGAGGACCATCCTGGTCACTGAGCTGAGCATTAACTGGCGTGGAGGGGTGAGGTGAGTGGAAGCAGGCAACTTGGAAGGCTATTCTAGTGGCTAACACCAGGGATGCAGCAGTGGGGACCTTATGGGAGATGGTTGGTTCCAGAGACCCCATAGAGCCAAGTAAGCATACAAGGTAGGAGTTTAGCCACCTGGTCCCAGGTGGACCTGGACCTGGACCCAGCAGAAAGGGTCATGGTGAGGCCAGACCCCACCAGCAGCAGCAGCCCTAGCACTCTCCTGCCTTGTATTTACCCTGATTCATCAAAAATCTCAGGCAAGGGCAGGGCAGGACTCTCAGTGTTTCCTGAATCCCCTAAATACCCACCGGACAGTACATTAATAACTGCCAAGATTCAGCAGAGAAGGCGCCCAGAGGAAAAAGAGCACAACTAAAAGGTGAGAGGAGACTGAAGGGAAATACAGACGCTGTCTAACTGACACTATTTCCTGGAGCCACTTCTCTGACTCAAAGACTGTCCAGGCCTTTTCACTGCTGTGTCCTTAGCACCCAGCACAGCACCTGGAGAGCAGAAGCTCGACTGATGTCTGGAAGGGAGGAAATGTTCCCTCCAGCTATGGTGAATGCTGCCGCTCAGCAAGGGCAGTGTGTTTCTTTATAATACTCACTCTCCTCACCAAGCCGCCTGGCCTCCCTACCACAATGCTGAATAGTGTGACTTCCTTCTCCCAGGGCCTCCAGCAGCCTCAGTGGCCCAGGATCGCGGCCAGCTGTCCAGGAAGCCTCCTGTCCTCCCACAGAGTCAGGACAAGTCTCAGGCAGTGGATACGCCCCACTCCCAGGCCCTCCTGGACAAGGGATCCCTTCCCCGACCCTCTTACCACCGTGGTCCAGCTGGGAATGAGCCTGACTGAGTTCTTCACCTCCTCCTCAGTCACCTCTACCATGCTGCAGTGCTCCTCCTCTGAGGGAAGGGGCTCCTCCCCATTCTTGGTCATCCAAGGGTGCAGCTGTGGAGGCAGGGAAGGCAGGGAGGCATCAGGGCCATGGGCAGACAGTCAGCCAGCAAAGGACTCCAGGCATTCCACCTGCAATCACTTGAAGGGGTCCAAAGCCCACAAACTCAGCACACACATGTCCTGGTATAGATCTCTCCAGAAGGGGAAACTACCATCTGTTTTCTGTGGCCCAGTCCAAGCTCTCTAGTTCCCCCACCTTGATGTCTGGCACCCCGATTCTCTTTTCAGGATTCTTGTCTAGCATCTTCAGGATGAGGTCCTTGAGCTCCTCACTGACCCTGGGCCTAGAGGGAGGAAGGAAAGAGATGAGAGCATGATTGCTGATGAGGACCCCTTCCTGTCCACCTCTCCTCCCACCCGGTGATCACACACATGCCCGATCCTGGTTCCTCAGATGGGAAGACTGAGGTCCAGAGAGGAAGTGCAACCCTCAGGTACCAGGCCAGAAGGGTGCTTCAGAACAGGTGCATGGATGTCCTATCCTGAGTAGGAGGTAAGCCTCCCTCCAGGGCAGAGGCCACAAACACAGAGTCTCATGGGTGCTGGACACTCCCAGGGTAGCAAAGAGAGTGAGGATTATGTGAGAAGAGTTGCTATATGGGACACCAGGGCCTGCATTCCCTTTTATTCTTTCCTCTACCCAGGAAAGATCCTCTCTCATCTGACAAAGAAGGAAATTGAGGCCAGGAGAGGTTGGCAGGCTGGTACAGAGCCATCCAGAAGAGTGTGGGCAGGGACGGGAGACTCAGGTGGAAGGAAGCACCATTCTCAGTCCCACATCTGCCCAGACTGTCACTGCCCAAGCCCCAGGCTGCTTAGCTACCAACATTCTTGGGGAGCCCCTCTGTCTAAGTCTGGGGAGCAGGAATCCACACTTGGGACTGTCGACTCTGGTTCCCTCCATTATATTAGATCTTCATCCCTTTTAAAACTCCCAGGCTAGGGAGAAACATATCCCCAGCAGGAGAAAGGCAAAGAGATCAAAAATCAAAGGATGAGGAAACAGACAGAAGCCAGGTGGCTGGTGCTCAGGGGAAGGGAGCTATGCGGGGGCAGATGAGCAGGTTAGCAGAACACTGGTTTCCCTTCCACGAGGCTGAATAGCATGACCTCCTTCTCCGCGGGCCTCCGGCAGCCTCAGTGGCCCAGGATCATGGCCTTGAATGCCAGAGCTAGGGCATGGCCTCTGTCCAGCAGGCTTTGGGAAGCCTTGGACAAACTTTAGGCAGGAGAAACAGTCAGACCTGTTGTATTTTATCAGGGTCACCGCAGCCTGATTGTGTTAGCTAGACTGGAGGGAGGCCAGCAGCAGGGAGACCAGAGGGGAGGTGGCTGGACAAATCTGGGGAGAGTGCCCGAGACCTTAATGAGGCAGGGGCGCAGGTGGCAATGGAACCTAGAGTCAGGTAAGTGGTGGACCTGACAGGGCTTGGGGACCAGAAGTGGGCATGCAAGAGCAGGAGGTATCGAGGACAAGTCCCATTTCAGTTTCTGATCTTCCCCAGACACTCCTGAAAAATGAGAAGCCAGGGAGCTCAGGCTTGCTGCCATGGTGGCCAAAACCATAATCAGAAGACCCACGAGCAAGGGGACTTCCCAGACAGTCCACTGGGCTCAGAGACCTCAGTCATAATGGGAGGAGCAGGCAGGAGAGACTGGCTTAAAATCCCAGCCCCACTGACAGCCCTCCTCCAGAGTTTCCCCTTTTCCATCTGTGACATGGCAAGCTCACTGGCATCCTGAAGTGCCCCATCCATATGGGGGAAGCAGAAGTTCCCCTGGAGTCCAGAACCATGTGGCATTGGTACCACTCCCCCCACACAGGCCTGCAGTGAAGGAGTGGCATGAATGAGTGACCTGGGGTCATCCCTTCCCAGCTCTGAGTCTCAGAGTTCCCTTCCATACGATGACGTCTCAGATACTCTGGGCTCCACAGTCCCACTCCTCCAGTTGCTCAGGGTTCCCGCCCAGGGAACAGCATCCCTACCTCCAGATCAGCAGGCTTAAAAGGCAAAAGCTTTGTTACAACTCAGACAACCCTCCCCAGGAATGGGGGGCAGCCCCCTTGGTTCCCTGGGTGGACAACTCACTCCTCGGGAAACACCACGACCTCATTCTTGATCTTCCTGTGCAGGGCCAGGATGTAATCATCGATGAACGGGCACTGTGGGGTAGAGAGGCAAAGGTAGAGGGCCTGGACCTGTGCTGGGGGGCTGGATCCCATCCCTTGGTGGGGCCAGGGGTGAGAGGGTGGCTCTGGGCTCCCCAGCAGATACGAAGGCCCTCAACTAACTTGTTCAGGGTATAGCATACTGCATGTGCTCAACAGTTGTGGACCGAATGAAAGAATCTGGGTGTACCCGCTGGCGTTATCGCCACCTGCAGCCAGGCCTCCATCCCAAGGGCCTGGGAGCATGTTTGGGAGCATGCTCCTTGAGATTCCCTGCAGCCCTTCAGTGCAGTCACAGAATAGGAGCACCTGTAGGCAAGATCTTACCCATGTCAGTGTCGGAAGTCCCCAGGGTCCAGTCTGACCCAGGATAGGAGTAAAGGACAATTTGTTGAATGAACAATTGAGTGAATGCATGGATGAACAAATGAATGGCATCAAGGGACTGAGGGGCATTCTGGCTGGAGAGAGGTGGCAACACCACCATCTATCCCGCCTTGAATGTCTCCTCCCTAAGACTCCTTCACATGAATCCCTGCCAAGGGGACTAGAGAAAAACAGAAAAAGCCTCTTCTCGCTCAGCCTTCTCTGAGCCAGGTGGGTGCTTTCAAAAGCCACTTTACTCAAAGACACAAAGGAAGGATCTGCACCTGTCACCCCTGACCAGCTCACTAGGCCTGGCTCACTGGGCCTAGCCCATGATGCCCAGGGCCTGGGTCTGCCCCAGCTCTGCTAGGCCTGCCAGTACTCACCTTCCCATAGACAAAGCAGTACAGTGTGACCCCAGTGGCCCACACATCCAAGGCCTGGAAAGAAACATACTCATGTCAGTCCCCCAGCAGGCACAGCCATTCCTTCCAACTCAGCTCCAGTGGGCTGTGGGAGAGGGCCTGGAGTCATGTATTCACTCAACAAACACTCTCAGGTGCTTGCCCCATGCTGGGTCCTGTGCTGAGCTCTGCAGACACAGGAATGACCAGAACAGGGCCTGCCTCCCACCCCCAAGGGGTTCTGAGTCTCCTTGGGACTGGCCCAGATATGTTTCCTTTTTTTTTTTTCGAGTTGGAGTCTCACTCTGTCGCCTAAACTGGAGTGCAGTGGCCGCTCCCGGCCACCGCAGCCTCGACTTGCTGGGCTCCGGCGATCCTTCCCCATCAGCCTTCCAAGTAGCCGGAATTACAAGCATGCGCTACCATGCCCAGCTGATTTTTTTGTAGAGATGAGGTCTTGCTGCCCAGGTGGGTCTCGAACCCGTGGGCTCAGGCAATCCACTCACTTCAGCCTCCCAAAGGCGCGGGATTACAGGCTGAGCCACCGAGCCCAGCTCAGATATGTTTCCAACTCAACAGATACAAAATCTCTTTCATCCAGAGGGTCACATTTGCTGCTGCCATGACACAAATGTACCCCAGTAATAACGGTATGTATTGAACTTTTGTTTTATTTTGAGACAGGGTCTTGTTAGGTTGCCCAGGCTAGTCTTGAACTCCTGGGCTCATGGAGATCCTCTGCCTCTGCCTCCTGAATAGCTGGCTTTACAGATGTGAGCCACTGTGCCCAGCTCATAAATTGAACTTATACTCACTAAACCAGCCTGGCTTCAAGGGGTCATTCCTTCTCCCAATAATCCATCTTTTTCCTGACACCAGAAGCAGTCCCTGCCCACACTCCTTTACCCCCGGCGCAAGCCACGACTCTAACACTTCAAGGCTCCCAAGCACGATCCAGCTCCCCCACACCCTGGATTCTAATGTGTGCTCTCACTATGTTTTCCCCTTCCGGGACTCAACCTCTTCTCCTGGGATCTACTTCCTCTCTAATGTGAGTGATTCTCAAATCTCCACCTACATATTCCTGTCCCAGATGTATCATCTGAACCCAATCAGGGAACACCAGACAAATGCAAACTGACAACATTCTACAAAATAACAGGCTTGTTCTCTTCAAAAATGTCAAGGTCAGGAAAGACAAAGAAAGGCCAAGGCACTCTTCCAGATTAAAGGACACCAAAGAGACACGACAAGCAAATGCAGCAAGTCACTCTGGATTGGATCCTGAACCAGAAAAAGGAAAAGTTATAAAAGACAGTACTGGGACAAGTGACAAAATTTAAATAAAGTCTGTAGACTATGTAAGTGTTATCAGTGATAAATTCCTGATTTTGATCACTGTACTGAGGTTATATAAGAGAAGGTCCTTGTTCTTAGGAAATATCCACTGAAGTATTCACTGATAAAGGGGCACAATGTCTCCAAATTAACTTTCAAATGGCTCAGAAAAATATAAAATGAATACATATAACTGGAGAGAAAGCCAGAAATGAATGGCCTGTAATCCCAACACTTTGGGAGGCCAAGGCCCAGGAGTTTGAGACCAGTCTGGGCAACCCAGCAAGACTACATATCTACAAAAAATTCAAATTAGCTGAGTATGGTGGTGCAGGCCTACAGGCCACTCAGGAGGCTAGGGTGAAAGGATCACCTGAGCCCAGGAGGGCAAGGCTGTGGTGAGCCAGGACTGGACAGTGCCACTCCAGCCTAGGTGATATAGTGAGACCATGACTCAAAAGGAAAAAAGAGATGATGAAAAAGCAAATGGGACAAAATGTTGATCATTGGTGAATCTGGGTAAAAACATATACTGGATTTCTTTATACGTTTTTTTCCTTTTTTTAGTTGGAGGCTCACTGTCACCCAGATTGGAGTGCAGTGGCACACTCACGGCCACCATAGCCTCAATCTGCTGGGCTCAGGTGATCCTTCTGCTTCAGCCTTCCAAGTAGCCGGGATTATAGAAATGCATCACGATGCCCGGCTACTTTTTGATTTATTGTAGAGATGAGGTCTCGCCATGTTGCCCAGACTGGTCTTGAACTCCTGGGCTCAGGTAATCCTCTCACCTTTGCCTCCCAAAGTGCTAGGATTACAGGCATGAGCCACCACACCTGGCCTCTTTGTACTATTCTTACAACTAATCTATAAATTTAGAATTGCAGGTATATCAAAACAAAAAATTTTTTAAAAATCTCTCTCCATATCCCTGACCTCTTTCTTGAGTTCACACCCACACACATCCAAGTGCCTCTCAACTACAGCATCCCAGCAGGTTCAGTATGGCAATCGGTCCTCTTCAAGTGGACAGGCATGTGCCAGGGAAACACACTAGAATGCGTAACCCCTTCCTTGGAAAGTTCTACCTATGACACTGTCACTTAGGAGAAGCTCCCCAATGCCCTGCCCTTATCCTGGGCCCCTAAGCTCTCTTGTACATCCTCTGGGCTCTACCTCCTGATCAGATTCTCCCTGTTCTTCAAGACTTTCAAACTCTGCCATGTCCAATATCTGAGGGGAGCCTCTGACTTCCCCAAACATGAGCTCTCCTGCCCTTTTCACCACCCAGAAGGACAGAAAGCAGGCTCTTTTGGCTCTGCCTGTTCCATAGCTCAGCCCAGAACCCAGAACAGAGCAATTAGGAATAAATATTTGTAGGGCAGGTTTGGGGGCATTTTGTTGGAAAACAAGAGAGAGTCAAAGTTGGGGAGTTTGCTAGGCTTCAAGGAAGAGGCAAATATGTCACTCCCCAGACACAAGGACCCTGGCATCCTCAGGTTAGATACTGGGCCCCTGATGTAAGCTGTTCTGCCTCTCTACCCTGGCCCAGGCCCTTTAAGTCACCTTCCCACTGAAGCTCTGGCCGGAATCAGAAATGGCCTCAGGGGCCATGAATGCTGGGGTCCCAGCTGTGCTGGACAGCCGAGCGTCGTTCCCTTCAAACTGGTTGCTGACACCGAAGTCGGCGATCTTCACATGCCCATCATCCCCCAGGAGCAGGTTGGACGGCTTGATGTCCCTATGAACAATCTTCTGGAAGTGCACTGCAGAGAGAAGCAGCTCAGTTTGAGTGCTGGTCTAAGGACCACTGTCCAGGATCCCACATCTGCCCTTGCCCAGCCAGGGATGCCGGCTGCGACATTCCAGCCCGTGTACACTGTCGTCTTGCGACAAGCTTGGAAGAGAATGTCAGGGCCATCTGCTCCATTGTGCAGGTGAAGACACTGAGGCTCAGCCCAAGCTGTTAGCAGCAGATCCAGGACTAGACTCTTAGGAGAGTGCTCTTTCCAAACAAGGTACCTGTTGCTGAGGGGAGAGGTCAGAAGAAATTGAGAGAAGGATGCTCTCAGACCATCTCTGCCCCTCCTAATAGCCCTCCTGGTGCTGTCTGCAGGCTCAAAGTCCATCAGAACCTATCTCCAGTTTTATCCCCCATCAGCCTAAAATGTCAAAAATGTCCCTGCTCCTGGGCCTATGAGTTGGATTGTGGGGACTGCAGTTTCATACGGAGGCCATGTCTCAGCCCTAGGGATCTGGGCTGTCGGAGTTTTAGAGAGGAGGGCACTCTAGGCCTTGGGACCACCAGGATGACACAGCCGGGGTGAAGATCAGTCATCTCTAGTAGAATGAAGCCAGAATCAGAAATGGCCTAGTAGGCTGGAAGCCTTCCTTGCTTCCAGGGTCCAGCACCATCAGGAAGGGGACTGGGGGGCACTTAGCCTGAGATGGCCAGAGATGTCCCAGCCAAGAGAAGGCACTGTTCTTGCCCACGGCCATGCACTTGTGGGATCCCTCCTCAGCAAACACCTTTCTCTGGACCAAGAGACCCCAGGATGTTGGAGAGGAGGGAAGACAGAAAGAGAGGGGAAGGGAGAGTAGGAGGAGAGGCAGGCTAGGGGCAGAAAGAGAGGCAGGCTGGGACCTGCAGACAGCACCAGGAGGGCCACTAGGAGGGGCAGAGATGGCCTATGGAGAACATCCTTCTCCCAAGTGCCATATAACAAGAACCAGTGGCTCTTTTCTGGTTGCCCACTATGTGCCAGGCACACACAAGGAGTCTGACGCACACCTAGCATCAGAGTACAGAAGCTCAGGGGACTGGATATTTGACCATGGAGAGTGGTTTCATATTCTTATCTCAAACCCTAGCCACTCCCCTGAAGTCTTTATCTACATGGATTTCCAACAGATACCTCAATAGATAGATAATTAGGTAGATAGACAAATATAGCTCAACACATTGCAATAGCATGCCTAATTCAAAACTTGATTTTTCTGCCTGCAACCCCCACCACCAACAAAAGCAAACCAAACAGAAAATCCCTGCTCCTTCTCCATCATTCCCATTCTGATAAAGTCTATTACCAGGTGTCAAAAATCACAGGGCCATCCTCAACTTCTCTCCTCTCAGACCCCACATCCACTTCATCAGCAAGTCCTGTGAGCTCAGCTTCTAAAATATATTCCAGATCCAACTGCTTCTCATCACCTGCATGGCTGCACTTGTCCCCATTGACTAACAATCAGGCCTGGATCTCCCTGACCACAGAGCCCACTTAGGGCAGCCTCGGCCCGCCCTTCTCAGGGTCAGAATCCCAAGGCAGGTCTTGGGTGCCCCCTAACTCTGTTCACCTACCTGTCCAGTCCCTGGGCCTAAATAATCTGCTCCAGAGAAGCTCTTCACTGATTAGCTGGGTCCAGACAAGGCTGCACCCAAGAACCAGATGAGATCAGCTTATTTTTTGGTGGGGTCATAGGGGATAACTGACAGCTTGCTCTCAGAGGGGAAGAAGAGCCCAGAACAGGAAGGGGGTAGAGTTAAGCAGGTATGGGATTGAGCCCATCACCGGCCATACCAAGGGTAAAATGTACCCTTCCCATCCCATGCCTCTAGGCCCTTGGTAGGGACTTTCTGCAAAGCTCCCCACTAGTATGTCTCAGTTTTCCTATATGTACAAAGAGATTATTAATTTGAAGACACAGGAGAGGCTCAAGTGGGATAAAGAATGTCCCATTATTGCTATTACAGGTCAAACCTCTGCTTGGTCCCTCTAGGGAAAGAATACACTACCGACAAAAAAATCTCAGATTTTAGAGAGATGGGCAGCACCCCTGGTCCCCAACCCAGGCCAGGACCCTGGGTGTCCAGGGCCTTCTTCTCCCCAGACCCAACAGCCACCCCGTGCCGGCCACCCCACCTCCTTCTCATTCCCTCCCCACTGCCACTGCCCTAATCCAGGCCTCACCATCTGTCACTTGGGCTGTAGAAACAGCCTCCTCCCTGGCCAGCTGGCTGTCTCTCACCCTCTGATGACACCCTCCAATCCAGCCACCACACAGCTGCCAGAGCTTTCTACGCTGCAAATCCCATCATGCCCCTCCCCTGCTCAAAGCCCTCAGGGCCTCATAACGCTGACAGGACAATGTCATGAAAGTCCTCCGGGGAGGCATTTCCAACCCTCAGGCTGGAAACATGCTGGGACAGTGTTTCCAGCATCATCTTTCACTAACCAACCACCCCCCTCTGCCCACTGGAAGTTTCAACCAGATTGAACTTCTGCCAGATTCACTTGAGTAGTACTTGCCCTACTCCTCTCTGCGCCTCTGGCATAGTCTTTCCCATCCATCCCCCTAAACTTGGCCAATGAACTCCTCATCGTTCAGGACCTTAGGCATAAGGAAGAGCCCTGACCCCTGGCTGCTCCCAGAGACCCTGCACCTGCCCAGTCTTGACAGGCACCACACTATATTACTGCCTGCTTAGGTTCCCGTTCCTCCTACTAGGCTGTGAAGTCAGGTCTGGGATTTTGTCATCTCTACATCCCCAGCACTTAATAGGTATTGAGAAAAGAATGAAATGAATGAGTGAATGAGTAACTGAATTCCAAAGATTCTTCCCTGAGCAGCTGGACATAAATATCTCTTTCTTCCCACATCTTCTGAGGCCCTGTGGAAACGCTAAGCTTGGCTAACAACTCAGCAGAGAAAAGATAGAGACAGAACACACAAGGCGCAGACAGACATGGTAAAGACCAGACACCACGAAGCACCTGGCGCATGCCCAGTGATGTCCCCCGCCACCCACTTCCCGCAGGCGAGGCTTTTGGCCCCGCCCCTGAAGCTGATTGGCAGATCAGCTCTGACTGACAGGAACTGCTCGGCCTGGGCTCTGCCCCCTCTTATACGGTATTTCCTAGTCTCAGGCAGGCAGCCCCTCACTCACAGTACTCCAGGCCCAGGATGATATCCCGCAGGTAGAGGCGAGCTTGCTCCTCGGGGAAGGGCTTGTCACAGGGCACTTCCATGACGGGCCTATGGAGAAGGATGAGGGGGAGGCGTGACAGCCGGAATCAGGATAAGAAAAGACTGGGTGCAGGTGAAGGGGAGGGGGCTGGGCCATTCTGGCCTTTGGGAGGTGGGAGGGAGCCCTCTGTTCGCAGGGGTCCCAAGAACCCAAGATATTAGCTTCTACTCCCATAAAATGAAAAAGTTGAGACACACATAGACATAAATATCCGTTTTCAATCATGATCTCAAATCAGCTTTATTCTAATTTCTGATTGGCTTGTTATTCCTTCTTCTACGTACTTAATTATTTATAATCAGACAGCTGCAAAGATGCCATTTAGAGCACTGTTTTTCAAACTGTAGATCCAGACCCAATAGTAGGTCATGAAATCAATTTAACAGGTGGCAAATGCTTTTTTTCTAATGAAGTAGAATATATCAGAATGTATCACATATAATAAAGATATATACTGTATTGTAAAACTATGGTTTCAGTTACAGATATGGATATCTATAGAAACATATATTTCTTGTTTTGAATAGAGGTCAAAAATGTTTGAAGGCCCCTGAGTTTTTGTTGTTGTTGTTGTTGTTTTGAGATGGGGTCTTGCTGCATTACCCAAGCTAATGAATTCCTGGGCTCAATGAATCCTTCCACCTCCACCTCAGCCATCTGAGTGGCTGAAATTACAGATGTGCCCTGGCTAAGACCCTGAGTTTTAAAGGGACAACACTCCTAGCCTCCTTCCCCAAATTGGTCTTTTAAGAAACACCCCAGGCTGAGAGACAAACCACAGCTTGCATTCAAGGCCTTGGCAGTGAGCATCCCCATCCACCCAGCCCTGTTTTCACTACTCTATGCCAGCTGCTCTGTAAATACCCTGAAAAGTCATACAGGGCAGACACATATCAGAACCCCAGGCTCAGTGACTTTGAGCAAGCCACTGACCCTCTCTGATCCTTAGCTTCTTCACTCATAAGCGGGAGCAAGTAAAGTCCCACCCACAAAATTCACAGGCTTCTAAAGCTGAAAGAATCCTTGACGATTTAGATACAGTTAAGAGTCACCTCTATACTTCTGCCTGAAAAATAATCATTTTTTCCTTCTGTCATCGTCCAAATCTTCCCAGTTCTTCAAGGCCTGGCTCAAAACCTACCCCCTCTTGCCAGGCACGGTGGCTCACGCCTATAATCCCAGCACTTTGGGAGGTAGCGGCGAGAGGACTGCCTGAGTCTAGGGGTTCAAGACCAGCCTGGGCAACTTGGTGAAACCTCATCTCTACAATAAATAAAAAAGTTAGCCGGGTGTGGTGGCACACACCTGTGGTTCTAGCTACTTGAAAGGCTGAGGTAGAAGGATCACCTGAACCCAGCAGGTCAAGGCTGTGATGGCCATGAGGGTGCCACTGTATTCCAGCCTGGTCAACAGAGTGAGACTCCAACTCAAAAACAAAACAAAACAAAAACACCTACCCCTCTTTCAAAGACCTCCCTGATTATTCCAGCCTCACTAATCCCCATCAGCCTTCAAAGAATGGTCCTCTTGGTCTCTTATTGACCCCCAAGACCAGAGCTTCCCAAGGACAGGGCCCAGATTTCTGATTTCTTCTAGAGTAGCTGACCTTTAGACTGGGGACACAGAGAAGGAAAGGAAGGCCTGGTTAGAATTGACCTGCCTGATCAGGACGGGGAACTCACCCCTTTCTCAGGAGGTCAAACACTGAAAGAAAAGAAAAGAAGGTAAGGTGTAGCTGGCTGGGAAAGCAGTGGATGTCAAGGTCCCTCTCTGTTCTGGAGGGCAAGAGATGGGGCAGGCATATTCGAGGGAGGGAAAGGACAAGGGTGCTAGGATATCAGAGGAAATATATGGAGGAGAGTGATGTCTGCTATGGACCTGCCTCACCTGACCCTCAGGTGCCTGGTGAGAGCCATCAGCATGGGCATGAACCTGTTTTACAAGGGGGAACTGAGGCTCAGAGAAGGGACAGAAATTTTCCTGAAGGTCACAGCAGATAGGGCAGGTAGAGTAGGGGAGTGGAGACTAAAGCCTTGGCCTCAAAGTCCTAAGTCAGTTCTTCTCCATTTTCTGAGGCCTCCTCTAAGCTCTGAACCAGGCAGGAGGAGCTTAAATAATAACATTCGCATGAAAAATGATGGAACAAATGTGTTTTGCATATAATTCATTTACTCCTCACATCAAGCCTATGATGTAGATACCATTATTATCCCTGTTTTATAGGTGGGGCAACTGAGGCACAGAGCTACAGATAGGGTCTGGGACCCCACATAGCTCACTTCCTGCATATACCTGAGTAGAAGGCCCAGGTCTGATCCGCTGCCTTGCAGATCCTGGGGGCAGGGAGTGGGGGCTTGGGAGTATTTGCTGAATCCAACTGGATATTTTGGGCCTGGTTCAGCAGGGCTGGGCAAAAGAATCCAGGGCTTGAGAATGTGTTTTCCTTCCGCCCCCAGGATGTAAGTGCATTCACATGCCCACCTGAAGGGCATGTGTGTCCCCAGGGAGCCTTTGGACCAGCCCTAGGTGAGCGGCTGTGGAAATGAGCAGGGTCACTCACCCAAATAGAGGTTGTCCTCAGCTGGGTCATCCAGGACCTGGTCAGAGGGAGCAGACGTGGGAGTGGGGCTTGAGGAGGCATAAGGTAGGGGTCTCCGGCCTCCTCATCCTTGCCAGCCCCAAGGACCCCTAGGATGCTGTGCAACCACCCTGGAAACTAGAGCAGGAACTGGACAGGTGACAGACAGATGGGGCCTCAGGAGGCCCATGGCATAGCATCCAGCCCTTTTCCCCTCCTGCTGCCATGAGGGGCTCACTTCTAGCGGCTGGGGCAGTCCCTCACCCTCAGTGAGAACTTGAGAACATCCCTGACCAGCCTGAACAGACCCCGAAGCCTCTCTGTAGCCCCACCCCAAGTCTGGCCCTGCCCTCAGAGGCCTCAGTCACCTCTGATGCCTCACAGAATCCCTGGGTATGTGCTGGGTGCCCCCAGCATCAGAAGCTGCTCGCCCAGGACTCAGGCACTGATTCCCACCTGCTCCCCACCACTTCCTACCTCAATCAGTTTGACCACATTCACGTGGTCCAGCTTCTTCAGAATGGCAATTTCCTGGTACACCCGCTCCAGGGGCAGCAGCTGCTTGGCTGGTCCTCCCTGAGCAGCCTGGGACCCTCGTGGCGGAGGGCGACCTGTGACCAGGAAAGACAGTCAAGCCCCAATTCCAGGTGGCTGGACCTCACCATGGCCTTGCAACCAGCCTCAAGTAAGGGTCCTGCAAGACAGTGGTCTTGTCCCAACCCACCAAGCACATTCCATCTCCAGGACCTTGTTCACAACGTCCCTACCTCAATTCCTAACCAAACTAGTTAGCAACTGAGGTCTCCTCCTCCATGCCCCCAGGATAGGATCTCCCAAGGACAAGAGCAGATGGATACATACGTGGAAAGCCATACTGCTTCAATAACTTCTTTTTGGAAAGAACTTTCATTGCCTAAGAAGAAAGAACAGAATTATCACTTGTGCAATCCCAGCTACTTGGGAGGCTGAGGCAGGAGGATCATTTAGGCTCAGGAGTTCAAGATCAGCCAGGGCGCTACAATTTTAAAAAGAAAAAAATGTCACTTGTGTGCAGCCACCAGGGTTAAGACAGGCTGGTTACATGTGGACTGAGGTTCAGGAAGGCACACTGGGCATCTGCCACCGGCAGCAAGGCTGTGGCCCAGTATGCGTTAAGCTGAGTTAGGAGGTAGTCATATCTGAGTCTAGGCCTTCCCATTATGCCCCCAACAAGCCCTTCTAGAGCCTCTGCTAGCATATCCCCAGGGTCAGGAAGTTCATTGCCTTTGCATACTCCTAGGGACAGGGAGCTCACTCTCTTCAGAGGCAGCCCTGTCCTCTATCCCCCAGCACAACTTCTGCCCCACCCCCCACGCTTTTAGGGCCCAGCTTGGGCAACACCTCCCTCCCATCCCCAAACTCACATAATGTCTGTCTTCACTTTCGTTGTAGGCCAGCCTCACCACGCCGTAGGCACCCTGCAGACAGGAACTGGTCAGCCCCACTGGCACAGGGCAACTCCTCCCAGGACTGGCTCAGGCACTGAGGAGCCTGAACGGCTCTGGTCCCTCCTCCTACAACCCATCTCCTTCTCCCACCACCAGCTGGCTCACAGGAATGAACTTCAGACAGGTGGGAGGGGACTCCTGCGCCCTGGTAACTGCCCCTGCTTGGCTCCACACAGCTCCATGCCTCCCTCAGTCCCTCCTTGACATCCATCAAGAACCCTGGGAGTCAGGAACTGGGAGGCATCTCCCACCCTCCCACTGGGTACTTTCTCCAGGCTGGGGTCTTCCTGGCTCTGCTTCACACTCCCGCCCGCATAGGAGAAGGAAGAGTGCCAAGCAGAGGGTCCTGAAATCCCACTGCTCTTGGCCACCCAGTCCTACCTTGCCAATCTCACTCTGTAGCTTGTACTGGTTCAGCTGCACACAGTCCTGCAGGGTAGGGGGTGGGAGAGGGGAGCTTGATGTAGCGCTTGATCCAGAGGCAGCGCTGCTCCCACCTCAGGAGCCTGTTCAGAGCCCAATCCTAGCACCAGGCCCCTCGTTCCCAGACCACCAGGTCTCATCGACCTCTCAAGTCTGAATGGAAGTTGGTGTTACCATCACCACCATAAGTGGCAAGAAGACGTGGATAATGTTTGAAAACATGAATGGTGAAGCAGTGATTATGTGTTGCTCCCTAGGTGGTGGTGAAGGGAAAATGCACTACTTCCTGCCTGAGTTCTGAGAGACCCCAATCCATGAGAAGCAAGAATTTCCAGAAGCAGCTGGATGAGAAGGTCTAGAATGCAGGGACAAGATGAGGGAGTTTGGGGACCGAGCCTGAGAGCCTTGGTTCAGGTACAAAAAGCTCAGCCTCTGAAATCCATAGGTGGCTTGGTACCTACGTTCACTTTCAGGTCTAAGTGGCAAGGACAGGGTCACGTACGCCCAGAGTCCAGAAGAACGTTGGCCGCTTCTGAGTCAGAGCAGACTCCAAGAGGCAGTATTAGAGGTGAGGGGGCTCAAGCCAGGGAAGTCTTAGGGAGCAGGAGGACATATCACCTATCTTCAAATCTCTAAGAGGACATCAGAGGGGACATGAAAAGAACTATTTCCTGGGCCTGGGCTGGGAGTGGGAATGGTGAGACTTATAGGAGGTAGCCTTTGGTTCAGTTGGAGCCCCCCTGGGTGGGAAGAGGCCATACGGTTAGGTAGTGAGCACCCCAGCTCTGAGGGTATTCAAACCAAAGCTAGACAGCTGTGTGGCAGAGATAGGGGCAGGAGAGAGTCTTCCTTGAAGCCTATGAAGGGGTTCATGAGCAACCCCTGGCTCTGCCCCACCAACCTCTGCGTCCGAGATGGCCACACGGTGGGACTCAATGGTGGGCCTCCGCCAGGCCCGTGGGGAGATGTGGCTGGGGGGGCCCGTGGCATAAGGCCCAGCCTGGGCCTCCAGGCAGCTTCCTGCTGGCCGCTCCTGCAGGGAGAACTTCCTAGCTGAGAGGCTGGGCCGGGCTGGGAGGGGTCTTGAAGCACTGCCAGGGATCACAGAGGCAGCTCTGGCCCGTGGCGGAGGGTCCACGCCATTCCTAGCAGGCTCTGGGCCATCATCTGCATCTTCCAAGTGGGCCACGTCAATGGCTGCCACCCGTTCTACTAGTTCTGCCCGAGGGTCCTGGCAGCAGATGGCTGGGCCCCCCTCCATTGCCTCAGTTGAGGGGGACTTCTGTGTAGCCTTGCTGGGAACCTGAAAAAGAGAGCAGAGAAGGCTTCACTCCTGGATGTCAGGCAAGATCAGATCTAGGCTCTTTCCTGGTGGCCACAATTCTTTGGGTCCCACCTCCATGCCTTTGCCCTGGCTGCACTCTCTGCCTGGGTGGCCAGCACCCAGTAGGTCCATCCCTACTAACTGAATGATTCCCAGGAAGTCATCTGGCTCTGCTGCATGCCAGCCCTCTAGACCTCAGTATTCTCACTCCTGCCTGCTGGCTTCTCAAGGAAGCTGGCTTCACAGTGATATTCTGGAATCAGAACAGACAGGGGCAGAAGACTGGAGGCCAGCAGCACTGGGAGGGGCAGAGTCCAGGGTCAGCGCAGCCCCAACATGGCGTGCAGCCCAGTGACGCACGAGCCCCACCCCTTGAGAGCAGAGCCTTCCAATGCTGCCTCCTGGAAGCTGAGCTGGGCACTGGGAATGCAGAGACCTCCCTGATGTTTCAGCCTCCTAGCCCCATGCCTCTCCCTGCTTCCAGGAAGGCTTCCCTGGGGCTCCAGCCTCTCCCATCTCCTCTCACCCTCTCCTGGGGAGGCCTCTCCAGGGCCATGGAGTGAGTCTCTCATGACTCCCTTCCCTTCCCCAGCAGGGCCACCAGCCCAGCACAGGGTGCATGAGAGGGGACTGCTGCTTTCGTGGCTGTCAAGCAACATTTCATTGCACTAAAAGGTCACTCCTTATGCCTCCCGGGTTTTCCTTGCACTTGGTTCAGGTGGCAAAAATGTTCACCACATCTGCTCAGGCTGAGATGCTGTCCCCCTGCCTGGCCTCCCCACACCCAGCCTGGACCTCTTGCAGGTTGAGCCCCAAACCAGGCCCCAGGCCGAGAAGTAACCCTGACTTGAGCCCCAAATCAACCTCCAGCCTCAGCTCCAGCCCTTATCTTCAGCCGTGACCCTGGGCTACAACACCCTGACACTCAGACTAGGACCACGTTTCTGCCTAGGCTAAGCACAGGACCCACCCCAGTCTCCTACCCCCATGCCTCTCACTGCTTTCCTTCTTGGCCTGGAATCCCCACCTTCTCAGGAAAAGGAAGTGAGTGGACTCCTGACCTGCTGTCCTTCCTGCCTGGTGGTAACTTCCTCTGTACCCACACAGCAACTTTGAAAACATGGGTCTCATGAAGTGTCGTGCCTCTGTTTCACCCCTCATTCTCCATCACCTTGCTTTGAGGCATCTTCTATCAATGAGGCAGGGCTGGCTGGATTAGACTGGTCACCAAGGAGCCTGGGCTGGGTTCCAGTCCTGCCTGCCAACCTACCATGAGGCCCTAGACAAGCTCCTTCCCAACTCTGAGTCTCAGTCTCCCATGGTACCATGATACCATGGATGCCACACCTTCCCAGATCCCCTAGGCCCACAGAAAGGTCTGGAGGTGGACTGGGGTAAGGGCGTGGTCCAGATCCCCATGGCTAGCACACAGTGTTGAATGAGTGGAGGTCTGGAGGTAGTGGAGCTAATACTGACACGCAGGAAGGAAGAAGGAAGGTGATCTAGACTGGGGAGAGGAAAAGACATGGAGGCTGGATCTAGAAATGTGACAGGGAGTCGGAGAGGACATCAGGGAGGCCTCCCTGGAGGAGATGAAGAAGGTGAATAGAGCTGGAGCATCAGGAAGGCCTCCCTAGGGGAAGTGAAGATGAGTAGGGTTAGAGCACCAGGGAGGCCTCCCTGGAAGAGATGAAGGGGGAGCCAGGTGCAGTGGCTCACGCTTGTAATCCCAGTACTTTGGGAGGCAGAGGCTTCCTGAGTTCACGTGTTCAAGACCAGCCTGGGCAACAGGGCGAGACCTCGTCTCTAAAAAATTTCAAAAAATTAGCCGGGTGTAGTAGCATACGCCTGTAGTTCCAGCTACTTGGAAGGATCACCTGAGCCCAGCAGGTTGAGGCCGCAGTGGCGGTGAGTGTGCCACTGCACTCCAGCCTGGGTGACAGAGTGAGACTCCAACTCAGGGAAAAAAAAACGTGAAGGGGTCAGTGAGTGGGGCTATAGCACAGGGAGGGCTATCTGGAGGAGGTGAGAGGGGACAGTGAGTGGAGTTATAGCTTAAGGGAGGCTTTGGAAACCAGACAGCTTGCAGGAAGAAGGAAGCTAAGGCTGAGAGCAGCCCTTCAAGCCTAGCCATGATCCTTCCAGGAGGCCCACCCTGCTGTCCCGCCCCCTCACTCAGCAGGCCTTGCTTCTCCCTGCAGAATATAAGCTTCGCAAGATTAGGGCTCTCTCTGCCTTGTTTCCATCAGTGTCTTCAACAGTGCCTAGCACATAATAGGAGCTCGATAAATATTTGCTGAATAAATGAGCGGTTGCCATAGTGATCATTACAGCCCTGTCCCCATTAGGCAGATGAGAAGGCAGCCTCAGAGAGCGGACCCCAACAAATCTCAGGCCCCAGCCCACAACAGAGGATGAACCACAGAGTTGGGAGCTCCTGCTCTCGGCCAAGGCAGGGACCAAAGGACTTAGAGCCACCATGGGCAGACACCACAGGTTGCCATGTCCACATCTTTGCATATGATTTCCCTGAGGCTGCTATCCCAGCAAGGAGCCATCTTCCTTTAACCTTTAACTTCCCTTTCTCAGATGGGGAAAGTGAGGCCCAGCAAGAGGCAGGCATGGGCCAGCAAGGGGCAAGTCGGGGCAGAAGGGTTCCTGTTCCAGCCAGAGGCCATGTCAGCTGGTGGAGCGCCAGGCAGCCAGGCTGCACCCCTTCCTGGCTGTGAGCCCGTGGCAGATGACCTTGCCTCTGTGCCTTGGGTTTTCCTCATCTGCAAAATGGGGCTAACAGCGGGTCTCACCGCCCCGGGTGGTTGAGGTGTAAAGGAATGAATGCCCACAAGGGACTCAGAGCAGGGCCTGCCGCTGAGGAAGCTCCGTACAAGTGAGTTGTTGTTGTGCTGTGGCTGTTGTGATTGCCTGGGACACGCTGTGGCCCAGATGGATGCGCGGGTGGCGGAAGGCGGTTGTGAGGGCTGACGTCAGGCTCTCCATCCCTCCCTCCTGTCTGGATCAAATTCAGGTGACTAAGTGTGTCTGCGAGGGAGGCGGCTGGGAGGCTTGAAGTTCCTGCAGCGTGTCCAGGCGACAGGGCCTGGCGCCCGAAGCCGTGCGTGTGACAGCGTGTGTCTTTGTGTGAGAGAATGTGTGTGAGCAGGGCTGTGGGCCTGGGGTGACAGCATGTGTCTATGTGTGTTGTGAATCCATACACAGGAGTACATCTGCATGGAGACAAAAATCTGTGTGGTCTATGTGTGTGTTCAAGTGTGCTCATGTGCACTTGTATGCCTGTAGGTCTATGTGCACTTGTGCCCGGGGGCAGGGGGATGGGGACCTGCACCCCTGGGGGCCATGGGAGCCCGAGGCAGAGGGTCTTGACTTCTCCATGTTTCACTCTTCCCACCAGCCTGAGCTGTCTGCTGGGCTGGGCTGTGTTCCAGGCAGAGCTCAGCCTTCTCTGGGGGCTCACCCAGAGGTCTCTCAAGGCCTCAGGAGATGCTTTGTAGAAGCTGACTCAGCAGGTAACTAGGGACCATGTGAGCAAACTAAAAGATGGACAGAGAGTCTGGGACCCAGGCTCAGGGTACAGCAAGGACTCCTATGAACATAGGGAGCTTCTAAGGGACCATCCACATCCTATGGCCAAGAATGTCCAGACGTACTGGGAAAAGCTACTCCAATCCTGTCCTCTTAGGATGGGGCTCTGCTGCCTTGGACAAGTCATTAAGCTTCTTGGAGCCTCCTCATATGTGAATCAGGCAGATGGCAATTTGTGCCAGAGTACTGTGGGGTTGGGATGTGTCTGAGTGGAGAAGCCACCAACAGAGAGCCTTGATGTACAAAGTACAACCCCACATCTGTCCCTGGCTCCAGGATGATCTGACACACACACTCCCCTCAGGTTTCTTCTGCCAGGCTGTGCCCCAGCCCCCAAGTGTCTGGCTACTTGCAGACCCCTGGTTTCAGAAGCCCACTTGGTCTGGCTTCTTCCTCAAGAAGTGCTCCATCCATCAGGGTCCCTCAAAGAAGGCCCAGACCAGACAGACTCTGCTGTTATCCAAGCAGCCCTGCCTGCCTACCTGGGAGGACTTCAGGCACACGTCAGGCCTCATTCTAAGTTCTAGAAGGCTGCTGTGAATCCCAGCAGTTGGCAAGGCAGGGGCCCAGCTACCATCCAGGCAGAGAGAATGAGCAGCTCTGACCAGCAGGGAACTGGCCAGAAGGGAAAGCCTCAAGGAGGTAGCAGCTGCCCAGGCCAGACACAGAAGGTGGTCCTGCCATCCCTGGACCGCCTCTCTGGAGCTGTGTTTACGCTCCTGACAAGTGTCTGGCTGGCCTTGGCAACGGGTGCCCTCCACAGCTCCTGCCCCCACCCAGGATGACTCAGTCCCCTCAAGGGAGGCCCAGGCGTCTGGTGCCAAGTCATGCTTGAGGATGCCTGCTGTGAGGACGCCCCCCTCCCACCATCCCTGGGGAGCCCCCAAGCAGCGAGGTGGGCTCTGTGCCTGACTCAGCACAGCCACCCCCAGTGCATCCTCCTGGCCCACCCACAGAGGCTGATGGTCTCCAGGCTTTATCCTCCTCGTCCTTCATGACAGGTCTGTGCCTCCAGCTAGCTGCCTCCTCCCCCTCCGTGTTTCCAGATCCAACAGGCCCCCACTTCAACTCGGCATCTCCCCCAAACCGCTCTTTCTCCTGTCTCCATCACAGAGACGGGCACCGCACCCTCCCAACTCTTACAGGACCCAGGCCAGACATCCAGGAGCCCTCCGTGACACTCACCCTCTCCCTCTTGCCCATCCTTGTGGCCCCCTCCCACCCTACACTTACTCTCCGATCCAGCTGCACCACGCTGTTCGCAGCTTCCCAAACTGTAGGCTCTGTTCTGCTGTAGGCCTTTGTACAAGCTGTGCCTTCTGCCAGGAACACACCTCCCTCTCCTTTGCTGCCTGAAGGTCGGCTCAGACATCGCC